TTATTATTATTATTTATTATTTATTATTATTATTATTATTATTATTATTATTATTATTATTATTATTATTATTATTATTATTATTATTATTATTATTATTATTATTATTATTATTATTATTATTATTATTATTATTATTATTATTATTATTATTATTATTATTATTATTATTATTATTATTATTATTATTACTATTTGTTATTATTATTAATTGTTACTATTAATTATCATTATCAATTATTATTATCAATTATTATCATTGTCATTTATTATTATTATTATTAAAGATGCTCATTTTCTTTTATTAAGTTTATTTGATTGGGATGTATGTTATAGCATCATTATAGGCTTGATTTATTTCACCCTACGATAAATACTTCTTTGCTTTCATATTGTATTATTTGCTTCATTTAACTTGTTTACTATTTTAATCATAACTTAATTCAACTATAAATTACTTCCATTTACATTCTTTGCTATTACTTTCGTTAAGTATTGTTACATTTCCTTTTTTTTCTTCAATACCTTACGATGAAATTTCCATTATAACTTATTTCATCCGTAATTTCCGCCATTTCATGCACTTTTGCTATTTCACAGTATTTCATAGCTAACGAATTGATTTGATTTTAATTTCAGATATTTGAATTGAAATAATTAAATATTGCTTTTAAGAAATTTTAATCTCTCTCAAATTTAAAAAGATAAAATATTTATAAAAATATATGATCTATATAATACAATTTATTGTATAGAAAAAAAAAAAAGAAAGAAGAGCTCTTCCTTAAAAGAAATGGAAATAATTATACGATTTCATTCTTATGTTTTAAAAATTACATGATCATTTCAATTATCACTATCATATTTATTTATGTGAATGATTAAATGATTGTAATGAGGAATTTTTTTTTTGTCAATTTAATATAAATTTAAAAATGTTTCAAAAAATTTTTTTTCAGATAATTTCTAGAAATATATTAACTTTTTTGGGAAAAAAATATTCTGGCTTTATTTTATTTCTATCATTCTCCTGCAAAATTTTCTGCATTTTAATGGCAAAGCCAAATGATAATATCATTAATTCAACAAATTTTCATGGTGGTATTATTGCTTCAGCATTAGCTGATTTACAAAAATATGACAATGTTTCATCATCCGGTAAAATCGGAACAAATTCAATTTCACAATTTAGAACAAATCCAATTCCAGAATTTACAACACCTCAGCTTACATCCGTTGACAATTCTCCTCTGTCAACTTATCATGGTATTATAGGTACCGCTTTACGAAATGAAATTTCAACCACTGCAAATGGTTATATTCCATCACAATATGAACAACAAACATTTACTACAACCATTGATACTTCCATTAATTTACCATTGGAAAAATTATTATCAAAAGAATCGATTTCATTAAATGATCAAAAATCAATAACATATTCATTTGATCATACATTAAGTACTAATGATTCCATTTTGCAATCACCACGATATACCGGACGACATAAGGGAAATGAAAAAGGAATGATTAATAAATGGTTACAAGAAATAGCTGAATCAAAATCATCTAATTTAAATAATAGAAAAGAAATTGCTAATGTATTAATTAGCCCACGTACTGGAATATTAGGATTACTTCTAAAGAAGAAAAAAAAATCCCGCAATTTACAAACTTCTCAATCAGTTAACAGTCTTTCATCTAATTCGGATTATACATTAAGCGATACAAATTCAATTATGAAAGAATCATGGATAACAAGGAGAAATCGATTATTATCAAATTCAAAAACTCACGAACAAAATTACAATAAGCAATTAGCATTGGATGATTTTGATAATACAATTATTGATCAAACTTCACAACAATCCAAACAAAATATATTTGCTGAAAAGGATAAATCAAGAGAAGATCAAAGAATAGATTATACGAAATGGTCAATTCAATATAGTACATCAAAAGAATCAAAAAGTTCCACCACTACATCTATTGGATTATTAGTGGATGAAGATGAATACAATAAAAATATATCATCTAAGGTATGATTTATAGGGTTAAAATTTATTATAAATTTAAAAAATTTTTTTTTAAAATCCTACGTAATATTTGATTAAATTTGTTTAATTTTATGAATGTTTAATTAATTGGCTAATTTTATGTTAAATTAATTTTTTTTAACATTTTAGATTTTGCTACATGCAATGAAACATGAATGGTCAAATGTGGAGCAAATTTTAAATGATGAAGAAAATCTTGATCTTACAATTACAGATCCAGTAAGTTTAATCAAATTAATTTTGTCAAATTAAATATAAAATAGAAATTTAAAAATTTTACTCAATTTTCAATATAAATTAACAAAACAATACAAATCAAATCTATGCTATTTTATTTTTTAATTTATTATTTAAAATTTATAATTTATGATTCATTTTTATAAATTATTAAGCATTGAACAAACAAAAATTATTTTTCTTTTTTTTCTTAAAAAAAAAGGAAAAGGAAAAACCAAATTTGAATAAAACATTTCTTCAAATTATACTTTACTTTTTCTTTAACCAAAAAAAAAGCATAAAACAAATTATTATAAACATAACATTTTATTTTTATTTTTCAATTTTTATTTTTTTTTTTCAATAATTTATCCTAAAGGAATGTTTTTTTTTCTATTCTTTTCCACCTAAATTATCCTATTCTATCAATAATTTTGCAACTTTTAAATTGTCCCATTTTCTTTTTTTTTTTTTTGTTTCCAATATAATTATCGTCTGAAAATAAAAAGGAAAATTCTTGCACATTTCCATTTCCTGAAAATTTCATCATTAACTATACGAAATGTATGGTTTTTATCAATAGAAGAAGGTAGAAGGGATTGTTAAATTTAAAAATGAAACTAAATTTGAGAGAGAAATAAATTTAAATTATTAAAATTCTTTCTCCAAAATTTCTAATATTTCTAAAAATTAAAAGTATATATTTTGTAATTGAGATTTTATGGTCAAAAAAAAAAAGAAGGAAGAAAGAAAGAAAGTTATTTCATTCATTCAATATTCTTCTTGGAAAAGAAATTATCTGTCTAGAGAAAAAAAAAAAACTTCTAGAAAAAAACTCTAGAAAAAAAAAAAATTCCACAAGTCCACTACAGTACTTATCAGGAAAGGATAGATTTTAAAACTAAAAGAAAAAAAAACGAATAGAAATTCAGATTAGTTGAAAAAAAAGGATATAATTCATAAAAAAAAAAAAAAAAAA